GATGAAAATTAACATAAGAATTTAAATGAGAACTGCAATTTTAAATACACTGTTAATTCAGATTCTATTCCACAACTCCAAAGACTGTTGCTTTGCAAATCAGCAGTACTAGGTTTGCAAAGCGCAAGGAATTCCCTTTAAAAAACTTCACAAGGTTATGAGGGATCCCTTTCTAAGTATTTCTGTAGCTACATCCTCACTAAAGAATTAGCTCATTACCTCTGCTTCTCCTAATCCCTTCAATTTAGGCCAGAGTTCTCACCAAAAAAATTATTAGTTATCCATCAGATTCTCAAAGGGAACTGACTTTTCTTGCATTGCACGACCATTTGATCTGGTGCAAGAGAAGAGGTGCCAGCACTTGATGCACACAAGTTTGAGGGAAGAGTAGAATCGGCTCTTTCCACTGGCTCTTCATTGTTACTCTGGATTAAGTGTATGGTAAAACTGCACCTCATTCAATGCCACTCTGGAAACTATTGAACTGTGGAAACCGTGAGAATTGACAGAAGATGTTGCAAGATTATTAGCCCTCAAGTTAGTAGGTATCCATAGTGCAGAGTTGGCAACTACATTCTTTTAATTTAACCTTTAGCTTATCACTGTTGATGAGCAAACTGATACAAGTATACCTGTGGATGTGTCAGCATTGCTGGGGTTGACTGTAAGACAGACACTGGACTCTGAGCAATAGCTTAGCTCAGCTGTCAGCAGCAACACCACAAAGCTGTAAGTTTGAAGATACGTTGCCTTTGGCAGCAATATTGACTTAAGGTACTTCCAACAATTTTTCCTTCCTTCCTGCCTGTCCTGCTCTCCTGATAGCCATATGACTTTTATCAACACAACTGTCTGTAAGGCCACACTGCGAATCAGGCCCAGGGAATTAAACAGGTATTAAAGAAAAATTCTGCAAAAAAAGCATTGTTAGGCAGTTTAACCTGAATTAGTCTCATGATTCAGTTCCCAAACATACACATAAACAGCTGTGTTGGCACAGCTGAAAGGATGTCAGGAACAAGCAGCTGGCAGTTGAGGTGGGTCCTGGGAATGCCTTAAAACAGGCTGCTGCTGGGAAAAGTGTACATGGAACAATACCTTTACTGTGTCTGTCTTGGCACTACATACCTGCCTGTGCATTGGCCAGTTCCAGGGCTACGGTCCATGACTTTATGTACTGCAATAAGTTGAGGCACCAGTAATCCTTTCCCAGTGTTTGTGAGGGAATTTGCCTGCCCTTCTGGGAGCAGAGCGGGGACTGGAGAAACAGCAGCGTTCTTAGCACCTGATTGCAAATCACCAGCCTTAGGGAAAACAAAAGTAAAACATACCAAATTTGCGTTCCACTGAAGTACACATGCAAACCTTGACCTTCCTGACTAACTGTAGCAAAAGATACTCCTCAGCTCAGTTCTTCAGTGGGAGCTATACTAAGACTCTATCATAGAGTTCTTATTTATAGAAACTAAATGTTTCTATAAATACATTAGCAACAAAAGGAGGACTAAGGAGAATCTCCATCCTTTATTGGATGCAGGGGAAAACACAGTGACAAAGGATGAGGAAAAGGCTGAAGTACTTAATGCCTTCTTTGCCTCAGTCTTTAATAGTAAGACCAGTTGTCCCCCGGGTACCCGGCCCCCTGAGCTGGGAGACAGGGCCCGGGAGCAGAAGGAAGCCCCCATAATCCAAGGGGAAATGGTTAGCGACCTGCTACACCAGTTGGACACACACAGGTCTATGGGGCCGGATGGGATCCACCCAAGGGTACTGAGGGAGATGGCAGAAGTGCTCACCGAGCTGCTTTCAATCATGTATCAGCAGTCCTGGCTAACCGGGGAGGTCCCAGTTGGCTGGAGGTTAGCAAATGTGATGCCCATCCACAAGAAGGGCCGGAAGGAGGATCCAGGGAACTACAGGCCTGTCAGTCTGACCTCGGTGCCAGGGAAGGTTATGGAGCAGATCATCTTGAGCGATATCATGCGGCACGTACAGGACAACCAGGTGATCAGGCCCAGCCAGCATGGGTTTATGAAAGGCAGGTCCTGCCTGACTAACCTGATCTCCTTCTATGGCAAGGTGACCCGCTTAGTGGATGAGGGAAAGGCTGTGGATGTGGTCTACCTAG